TGGTTATGTTCTGGTTATGTTTTGGTTATGTTTTGGTTATGTTTAGTGTTTGGTAGTTTATGTTCTGGTTATGTTCAGGTTATGTTTTGGTTATGTTTAGTGCATGTTAGTTTATGTTCTGGTTATGTTCAGGTTATGTTATGGTTATGTTTTCTGCATGTTAGTTTATGTTCTGGCTATGTTCTGGCTATGTTATGGTTATGGTTATGTTTACTGCATGTTAGTTTATGTTCTGGTTATGTTCTGGTTATGTTTTGGTTATGTTTAGTGTTTGTTAGTTTGTGCTTGTGTTATGTTTTATGGATGTTAGTTTATGTTCTGGTTGTGCTTAGGTTATGTTCTGGTTATGTTTAGTGTTTGGTACTTTGTGTTTAGGTTATGTTTAATGTATGTTAGTTTTTGTTATGGATGTTTTCAGGCTATGTTCTGGTTGTGTTTAGTGTATATTCTGGTTATGTTTAGTGTATGTTAGTTTGTGTATTAAGTATGTTCTTTTTTTTTTTTTTTTTTTGGTTATGTTCAGGTTATGTTCTGGTTATGTCTAGTGTGTGTTAATGTTCTCATCGTGTTTAGGATGTGTTCCTGTTATGCTCTGGTTATCTCTTGGTTATGTTCAGGTTATGTTCTGGCTGTGTTTATGTTATGTTTATGTTGTGTCTTTATGTTATGTTCTGCTAAAGTTATGTTTAGTGTATGTTGTTTTTTGGTTATGTTCAGGTTATGCCAAAATTATGTTTAGTGTATGTTGGTTGTGTTCAGCTTACGTTCTGGTTATTCCAAAGTTATGTTTAGTGTATGTTAGTTTGTGTTCTGGTTATGTTCAGGTTATGTTTTGGTTAATTTTAGGTTCATTTCAGAATATGTTTTGGCTATGTTCTGATTTATACTTAAGCTTTATGTTACCAACAAAGCCTGGGTGCACTGGCTTGATTATGTGTTATAATGTTTTATTCTCCGTGTCCTCATGGTGATTGTTTCATCCTTGTTTTAGTCTGTGAAATTATATTATATTTAAATATCTTTGAAATTGATTCTGCACCATCCATGTCATGCCATGCCCTTACATTTTTTTAGGTACACATTTAATAAAAATGTATTCTCTAAACTTATTTTATCAGATGTGAATATATACATTTCAAATGTCAACCCAAAAAAGTTATAAATAAGAAGTTAAATAAAACCTATGAAGCCTAAAAAAAAATTGCATGAAAACTAAATATATATACCACACGAAATACTATTAATTAGATTATAAATGATACTGGGTAATACTAAGATCTCACGGTGTGTTTGATATTCAGTAGG